CCCGTGGGGCTCAGCCTTCCACACAAGTTGCAATCGGTGATACGATAGTAACGTGGATAGGGCCATCCTGCTTTACATTTGCTTGTCCGTGTAGTATTTGTTTTTGAATTGATGGTCATATATACACATTTTTAGCTCTAATATTCGTTGGTTATTAGTGATGTTTTAGTAAAAAGCTTGCATACTTAAAAATCTCACTAAATCGGTAAAACTGTGTAAGCTTTGTGGTAATGAAATTGAGCTTCCTTTTCTTTCATTAGCTCTACATAAAAGATGTAATCGAACGACTTGAAAGGCCTTTCCTTCAGGATGTTCCCTTTCCTCTTTCTGGCTATTGATTTCATTGATGTTTAAAGGGACAGTGTCAGTACTTAAATGGAAATTGCATGTAATATTAACATTTGAATTCAAAGTTGCTGAATGCAGTATATCAACCCTCAGGGTTTACTACCAGTCTTCCTGAGTTAAAATAAATGCATTTAAGAATATCCTCATCTCTGATTTCTCTCTGGAGGATCATCTGTGTCAATGACAGGGTAAATTCGTTCAGATATGTGTGAAGTTGGTTTGGTTTGGTTTTCTGTAAGCAAATGTTCTTTAAAATTTTGCTTTACGTGCAACTGGGGCTAGTGACCAATAAAGGGATTTTAGGAATTGGAGAAAACTTGTAATGAGCACGGTCAGTTGTAGATTAGCATCCATTCTGTAGATTTTTTTGTGCCCAATTTTGTTGTTGCTTATACTAAATAATTCCAGTGACTTCAGTTGAGTTAAACCAGTCTAATGCACAAATAGCATCTTCTAATATTCTAAAAATATTCTAAATGTTTCCTTTTTTAAGAAAAACATCCTTGCTTTTCAGTCATTATTATATACGAGAGCGGACAGGAGCTTACCAGTCCACCAAAGTCCCTATGAGTGTTACAGGCATGGTGGGTATATGGCAGCAGTTTTGTTAGAGCTAACACTCTGCCTTATTCCAGGAAGCCTTTTAAAGGAAGATTGAGCAGCCTGCACTGTTACCCACAAAAAATCCAGTCTGCAAAACATAGCTTTTCAATGGATAAGGACTGAATTGTAAACCTTGGGCAGCTGTGCAGTATTCTGCCTGCCTCTGGCAGGGCAGCGTCAGGGAACCTGCCCGTGCTGCCTGCCCGTGTGCTGGGCATGCGCCCGGGGGACCGAGCGTGGGGACAGGGCTGGGGAGAACAGGGAGCAGGCTAGGGAAAACTCTCATTTCGGCTGATACAGCTCTTCTGCTCAACAAAGCACAACTGCCAGCCTGAGGTTGATTCGATGAGAGAAGTATTTCCATTTGCGGTGACGTCGTACGTCAGACCTGTTTTGCTTGAGTTCAGAAGCTGTGATGCCAGATATTAGTTTTATGTGCTCAAACAATTTATCGGAGGGTCAATATACCTTTTAGAGGTGTAAATGCTAGCTTGACTGCTTAAGCACAAGAATGCAAAAGCTTCTGCATAGGTGATCAGTGGAAGAGACAATGCATTCCCTTGGGCAAAAACATCAGTTTCTTAACACCCCTCCCCAAACCAAAGCAGAAATAGAGTAGTGCTATAGAGCCTACTAATAGAGCCTAGACTACCACTGCAAAGTGGCTTTTCAGATTACGCATCTGCCATTATTTTATGCCCATACTGAAATAGGACTGCAGTAAGAGCCTGAGCCAGTGCTTATTAGTGGAAAGATTCCCACTGAATTCAGCAGGCTTAGGCACAAACCTTATGTGACTGTTTTGAAATAAAGCATAACATGGGCAAGAAACCAGTTTTGATTGCAAGCCTGTAAAATAAAACCGCAAATAAGTTTATGTTAAAATTTCATGTTGTAAAGAACAGATGAAAAACCACCAATCCATTGTATGTTAAAGCATTTCATTCTAAGCATTTCAGTGCTTTAAGTTAATTATATTTTGTCCATAGGGGCCAGGAGAGTGCTGGAATTGTGACAAGTGATGGAGAGTCATCTCAAGCATTCAAAGTGCACAAGGTAAAACATAAATGAATGTTTTATAGATGCCTAACTGAGATGCATGAAAGTTTGCTTCAGCTAGGAAATGGAATAATTAGAGGGAAAGTAACATGTTTTGATGGACTGTTTTGGTTTTGTCAGTGATAGTATCTAATTCTGTTATTTGTGCAATTTCCATCTTAAGTGCATGTTTAAAACAAATATGCCAACGTTATCCTGCTGGGTGTATCGATGCACACAGTGGCAGACACAGAAATTTCCAGATCAGACTATTGATGTCACAAAAACTACTTACCAAAGTCACCCCGCACCTAAGGTGTTAACTCTGGAGCACTGATGCAACTTGAGATCAAGAGAGCAGACAGACAGTTACAGGCTATGCACAAGCCAATGGATGACTAATGCTGTTAGTAAGACTCAAGGAAGTGGCAACTACTTTACCCATAGGTAAAAATAAACAGAATAAAAGATTGAATGGAGGCCTGAGAAGGTCACGCAGTCTTTCTCGAGCTGAGAGAATCCCAGGGGATGTTAAAAGACATAAAATGGCCATAGCCTTGAAAGTCTTATGCCGGGAGGGAGAATACCTCCATGCTCTGGGGATATTTCTGCTCATTCTTTATTGAATAGCGATCAGGAAAAAAAATAATCACCAGCCTATTCCATCCTGGAAGAGCAGAGAAATAAAGAAGAGCAGGAAGGAAGGAAATGGGAAGAGCAGGAAATAAAACTACATCAGCAAAATAACCATGGGGCAATCTTGATGCATGTTCTCTGACCACAATCAGAAAGCAGTTTGTCTTCATGTTCAGAGGTCTCTGAGGAAGATAATTAAGCTGTTCAAATGAGTCCAAGAGTAAGAACTGCTTTGCTGCACCAGCATGTATATCTGTGCATGACTGCTCAATGCCTCACGCAAAATCTTGTCTCATCAGGCATCATGTTTGTCGCCTCTTCAGGCATTTCCCCCCTCCTGTCTATTACCTACAGCCCGATTCACACACACACATACACACACTTTTAAATGCAGCTTTTCTCAACTTCAGCCCGTGTTATCTGTTCTTCAGTCCTGCTCCTGCTTGGGTTTCAGCTTTCTTTAAGGTGTACAGGAATTCCAGCTTCCTTTAAAGTGGGCTGCTGTATATATCCTGTAGTAAAAAGAACTTCTCAGAATAAACTTCCAGCAGGTGATATCATAATTTGTAGTGTTTCCATGTTACTGAGCTGCAATACTTAGCTGTCGTGCTAAGAATTTAATTGACTATCTCATCATATCAGCTTTGATATTTTAAGAGCTGCAGAGCATGTGATGGTTTCTTTTATCCTTGAAATATGTTTCTCAGCTACAGCACTTTTTAAATCTGTAATAACCACAGTGTAATAAAGAGCCTGTGGAGTACAATTTGTATGACTTGTTTAATCCTGGAATTGGCGCTAATGTAACAAACATTTGGGTCCGTTACACTGGTGAAAATATATTTAGGACTCTGACTTGTAAACTAGTCCATAAAAATGTCAGCAGCTAAGATGCTACTGTATCCATTTGTCCTCCAAACTCCGGTTGACTCTTCTTCACAGCAGAGATGACAGGATGGAAAAGGTGCCTGCTTCTCACTGCATTGATTCACTACCCAATGCTTCCGTGCAAACTCACCTTTGTCAACAGTTTAAGGCAATACATACATTAGAGTACGAACTGGAACACCTAAGGCATGGGTATGTGTTCCCTTCTGATTGTTACCAGCCTTTGGCCACGGATTAATAGCCCTTGACAAAGGCTATTAATCTTTTTTTTAAACTCTTCCAGAAAGACTTGTCCAGATTTGACTGTCAGAGCCTTTCAGCTGGATTTGTATAACAAAACATTACTGTCATAGCTCTAGTAGCTCAGGATGTGGCAAAACTTAAATCTTTTGTACAGACATAGCGATGCCAGTAGCAGGAAGGCTTTGTCTGATTGTTTCACACTTGGATTCTGGATTACAGAAAAATACACTAAAGTAGCTATTCATCAGACCATTATCATGTTCTGGCAGGTACCAGGTCTTGTATAATACAGACATAAGATTGTCTTCATTGGGAACTTTTTATACTGGTGTAATTCACATTCACCATCCCACACCAGCACAATCTAAATCAGAGGAATATTTCAAACTGCAATTAAAAGATTATGTACTTGTGTAACCAAATCTGGTTTAAAACAACATTGCTTGTTTAAGCTATTGCAATGCTTAACGCGGCCGCATCCATTAATACTGGACCTGTGAACTGCCAGATCGCCTGTTAGGATAAAGTTGGCCTAAGTAAAATAAGAGCGCATGGTTGCATTTCTGTACATACATGAGCACGTAGACTCTAGACCACCGTTACGTCATCTGTGAGACAACGGATGATAATTGATCTGGCATAAAGTTTGCTGAACGATTAAAGCTAACTTATACTGGTTTGACAGTGTGAGGCAGTAACTTTTTAACGTGATAGTAAGTATCCTAAAACCACATGTGCAACCACAGCCTCTTGGTATTCTGACTCTATAACAAGTCACAGCAGAAAATACCCTAAAGCTGAGCTTTCTTTAAGCTCTTTTGGTTGAGCTCTGAAAACAGTTCAACCAATTTCTGTCCTTCCTGTCCCATCCCGCT